GGATGGATGGATGGATGGATGGATGGATGGATGAACAAGTTAGTGGATAAAAAACAAATAAGAACGCAAACAAATAAGTATGTAATAAAAGAGTAAGTAGATAGAGCAGTAATTAGGTTAAATAATATAATTAATACATACATAAATGAGTAATGCCTTAATCAGTATAATTAGTTAATTAGACAGTACATAGATAGACAAATAAGTAAACTAAGACAGAAACAAGTAAACAACAAGTTTATCCCTAAAAAACTATGAAACTGACTAAGAAACTAATGAATAAGTAAGAAGAATGTAAATCGTTAAGCAGTAACAAGATCAGGAAAAGTAGGCTGATTAAAGAAAGTGAAACACTTTGCACAAAATTCTCCTCCCTGTAGACTTTGTCCTCCATTCCATTTGTAGTCCCTGTAAAAACCATGCTTATTTTTTCAGCCAGATAATTAACTATTTATAACTTTTTTGAAATAACTGTGGAAGAGGTTTACGGCCACCAAAAAAAAAATCCTGATTTTTTTTCTTCTTTCTTTTGAAAATCAAAAGTCAGATTTATTTTTCATTCTTTTCAGTGGCTCTAAATTTCTTTCATAAATAATAAATAATGATCCATTAGGAAATAAGCAAAAACAGACTCCTTGGAAAGCACTCCCTGCCCGACTCTATATCCGTCTGTCTTCGGTCTGATGTCTCCACATAAGGTCCTCATAGTCAGACGGTGTCTCTACATGTGGAAAGATGGGGAAGCAGGAGTGATCAGAAATACCTCTGACTCCAGATGAAGTGATGCCCATGATCTCCTGCTTAAAGTTAATCTGACATTTTTCTGTGGATCTAATCCACATTACTGCCACAAACAGGCAGACCTGGATAATGTTTCCACTCTGAACAAAGTTTAGCATCCAAACAACACAAAGCTGTTATAAAGTGTGTTACCATTGAAGCCACACACCTTGAACCAACAGGACATACCAGATTTATCACTTTAACTTGTGCCTCATGTCACTCCCTCCCAGCCCACAGCCCCTGCACACTCTACCGTGTCCAAATAAAGGCTGCGAACAGCACTTCCAGTGGTCTGACCGAATGCTGCACGGGCCCATATTACCCACAGTGCATTGCCTCACTCCACAGACCTCAGACAGAGACAGTGCTTTATTCCTTCTTGAACTCGCTCACAGTGTATTTGGCATGCTCAGAATAATCCCAATCCTCTCCAATTACACTCCCCCCACAGATTGTTGGGTGTCACTTGCCGTCTGCCGGCTGGATATGATGATTCTGCGCCTGCAATGTAAGTGGATACAGCACTTTTTGGCATGTAGTATGTAAGTTACAACTCAATCGGAGCAGTAGGCTACTGTGGTCCTAAAACAGACGGGTCATAAATTTCAAGCTGCTTAAACAAATGCGTGAGAGGGACGTTATACTCTCCTGTCACACACTGACGGAGGTGCATGAGACGCACAGCCACATCTCTGGGAGAACGCAAAGGAGCTGACTCTGATCAAATAAACAGTAACCCATAGCAACAGAGCTGCACACTAGACAGGGCACAGTTCTGAAACCAAAGAAGTATCAATCATTCATCTGACATTTGGATTCAGAAGCTGGGGGCATATCAGATTATGAGATCCTCACACTGGACACATCCATCATAGCTCTGATATGAAAGCAGACCAGGAAACAGACAAGAACAGGTCCATTCAGTCTTCACATGTGCTTCTGGGTCCAGCATTCGCTGACCCAATCTGGGATTCAATGCAGAGGAAGGACGCATGTCTGAATATGGGGGGTGGAACTGAAAGAAGGAACTCCACCATCTGTCCAACTCTGTGTTTCTTTTTTTCTAAGCATTTCCTTTGTTTTCTTTAATATGCCCTCACTGGGAACCAGAGATGGACTGAATGGTGACATTGTTGCCTTCTGGGAACAACATCCTGATGCTGTCTGGGTGTGTGAAGCAAAAACTCCAGCATCAGTGATTTTGTTGCCAGCAGAAGGACAAAATCTACATAAAACTTGTGTGGAACAAGTGTCCAGATTTATTGTACAAGTGTGTAACCAAAAGGGGCAGTAATATCTATTTTAATTCAGAAAGAAGTATTCAGTATTAGTAGCTGGGAAGTTACCAGAAAATAAATAAATAAAGCAGAATAAAATCATATACCCATAACCAATGGTATATATTTAGGCTTTTTGACAGCTGCATTTCTGCCATTTCTCAATTATAACCTCAAGAGGGAGCCAGTGCTTACAGACAAATGTCTACAAGTTGTGCATTAAATGCGGAGTCATAATCAATAAATAAAAATATTTCAGTAACTCTATTCACTAAGTGAAACAAAAAGAGCCTTTTAGAAGTCTAAACCTATACAAATTGGGAAACACTTTGAAAACTATTTATCTTTCTGGGCAAGATCAATCGATCAATCGATCGAGTTTTAAAAATGTGAACATTTTGAATTCCATGTGGCCAAATGACGTCCACATTTCTTAATTACTTAATTACTAGATAGATAGATAGATAGATAGATAGATAGATAGATAGATAGATAGATAGATAGATAGATAGATAGATAGATAGATAGATAGATAGATAGAGAAATAAATTACTTATTATGGAGTAATTAAGAAATGTGGAAGTCATTTGGCCACATGGAATTCAAGTTGTTCACATTTTTAAATTGGTTTGAGCCTTAAACTTTTAGGAAATGTGCAAATATAAGGAGATGGATGGAGGTAACTACAGAACGAGCCTGAGCTATAATAAAAGGCTTTAGATCAACACAAAGACATCTATTAGAATGTCCCAGTCAAAATCCAGGCTTAAATCCAATTGTATGTTTGTGGTAAGGCTTGAAAAATTATTTTCATAAATGATCTCCAACCAGTGTGTGTTGAGCTGGAAGATGGGGCAAAATGTAAAGTTATGTGGTGAAGAAAGCTAAACCCACCATCCCACAATGGAACATGGTGGTGGCAGCATTATGCTGTGAGGATGCTCTCCTTCAGTAGGGGTGGAGGTGATGAAAAGTTGCAGTCCTGTCATAAAAGCTGTTTGAGTCAGCAAACCATGTGAGACTGTGGCAGAAGTTCACCTTCTGTTTTGGTTTATCACATAAACTTTATTGAACTTTCAGTGAAAACAAAATATAATAAAATGTGTAAAATCTCAATGGGTATCAATACTTTCACACAAAACTGTCTGCATAGCAGTGACACCTACACTGTTAGTCTTTATAACTGGACTCTGTGTTACATTAGCGCTGATGTTATTGATTGCATCCGGCGCTCTGCTGCAGGAAGGCCAGGAACCTGCTGGCGGAGATGGATATGTAAGCTCTTTGTCCTTTCTTTGTCCTCACACCGTTTTCATCCCTTCTATACATTCGCTCTTCTTTGCCCTCCTCCCTTTCATTTTCAGATCGTCTCCCTGTCTCCTCTGTCTCCTCTGCCTCTTCTCTTGCAGGAAGCTCGACCAGGTTCGCCACAGCGTGGTAAAAGCAGGACGATGACTGAGCTTTGAAGGATGCAAGGTAGGACGTGTTTGTGAAAAAGCTACTGCTTTATCTTGGTTGTGGCTGCAGAGACACTTTGCTGCAGCATATTGTGCAAACTCATGAAGCTGCAGATTTGAACACGTTCTGCATTTTCAGAGTTGAACTACAGCAGGGGTGGAGCTGCCCTGATAATTTCAGTGAACAAGTTGTTTTCAAACAGGAAATGCAGCCTGGACGAAATTAAAAGAAGGTAATTTCACCTGTATATGACTGGATGTCTGCATGAGGACACTAAAGATGTGAGCTGTGTCTATTGCTGTTGAAGGCACCACAGTGTGTCTCTTTCTGGACTGGTTGTTTGGAAAAGTCTGTTTCCCCCTCTTCCTCCTGAGTCCCTCCACCTGTTACACAGTGAGGTGTTAATTTACCCAAACGGGGCAGATTTTTTCCTCCTCCCAGGTGTGTGTGTGTTTGTATGTGTGTGTCTCCTTTTACATCCCTTTACGTCACAGCTGCTGTGAGTCAGCTCCTCTCTTCCTTTCCTGAGTCACTTGTCCAACGGTTGCTTGGTTACTGCAGAGCAGTAAAAGTTTCCTATTGCGTCTTTGTCTCTGCAGATGGAAGACTGCCGATATTTATTCAGGCCTGGGACTGAGAGACCCAATAATGGACCCGTAAGTGTGCATGAGCACGTTTGTGTGCAGAATGTGCAATAACTGGCAAATCTCTGTCATTCAGACATTTAGTAGAAAGTCTCGTCAGATGACTCCCGTGTGTCATTCTGGGATTATCATAGTGTCTCTCCTCCAGTCAGTAGAAAGCATGCCCTCTTTATCCCATAAAGTAGCAGTCTTCTCCTTTCTGCCTGTAATATCACTAATGTATCAAATGTGAATCAGTATATCTTCAGGTGTACTGAAACTGCCTTGTGGATGCCCTGAATCATTGATGCAGGAATGAAGAGGAGTGTGAGGACCATGAAGTGGGTTCCTACATCTGTGTCCTTGATTGGACGGAGTGTTCAGCCCCTAACTCACAGAGAAATACTAAGCACACATCAGATTGGCTAGCTTCATCTGGATTTTGTTTCCCACAACACTTCTGTCCCCCATCGGAGCTCAGTGGACAGCTGAGGTTTATAGATCCCGTCATCAAAGGTTTACCAAGCCATGCCAACCAGGAAGGAACAACTTTCCATATGGTGGACATTTTTTATTGGATTAAGCACTTTTTGAATGAAGCAACCCAGCAGCATGCCATTGTCATGGATTCCTTCAACAGGCTCATCATTCTTTCTGATAATTGTATAACTATAAATAAATTATGCCACATTTACTCCTCTCTGAATTTGAGAACATTTATTAGACATAGAGGAAGTTCTGGAAGAAATAAAAAGATGTCTGCTGTAGAACACAATGACGCCCAAAGATCTTTTTGTCTCAAGACGAGCGGTCAGGACGCAGAGAGGGACAGCTTAAGGACGTGGAACCCTGAGATCTGTCAGAAAACCCGTCAAAACGATGATCATTCACGAATACCACAGAGGAGGAGCAAAAGTGAGAAAATGAAAATAAAGAAAAGTGTTTCCTTTGAAGAGGATGTCATCGTCTACCTGTTTGATCAGGTAATGATCGATCATTCTTTGTCCTCCAGTTTATTGTTTTTAAGTGGTGTTGAGGGTGGAGAGGCTGTTAATTAGAAAGAACAAATCAAGAATGCAGAAGGGCCACAATCTGCCATCTGGCCCCCCAATGATAAAAGTCTGGCTCCGCCACTGGCAAAAGTCTTTAACACAAGAGTTTTCTGTTCTAACTGGAGTGTGTGTGAGCTTCTTGTTTCTGAAAGGTAAACCTGACTCGACACAGCTCCTCTGTTAACACGTGTTGCTCCTACTGATGGTAGTTTCATGTAGAGAACGTTTGTTGATGTGCTCGGCTAACGCTAGCATGTTTTGGCTATTTTGACAATACTCAATGCCAAATTAAACATTTTTCAGTACAGTTCTAGTTTGTTGTGTTTGTGGGGATGGAGGGGGAGCGACTTTAGGAAAGAATTATTAATTTCTCCCTTTTTGTTGGACATCATAAAGTGAATTCTTAATGTTGTCTGTGCTGTTTACACTAGACAGACATCTGTCAGGTCAGCACAGCCCACAGAGCAGGTCATGTGACACAGATTGAAAACTCAGGCAGAAAACTGTCATGATGTTCAAAAAATCTGGACTTATCTCTGGAAGTGACTGTTGCCCTGCAACAGATGTCAGGAGTTGAGTTTAGTCTTTAGGCTCTGACACTGATCCTTTCAAAAAAAAAGTGCTAAAGCTTGGGATTAGAGGGATGACCTTGATGTTTCCTTTGGGGTTATCTTGTAAAATCAACCATGATTTTCCTGTATTTTTTTATTTTTTTTTGTCTATGTTTTGACAATCAACTGTTGATTCTTAGGAAACACCCACTCTCAAGCTGCCTTCAGAACCCTCTACATCTCCACCATTCCATATTCCCAGCATCCAGTCTGATGTTACGTCAGAGGACAATGGTAAGACTTAAAATGACCACATTCTAATTATTCCCCTATTGAATATCATTTACATATTTATAGTTGAAACCAGAAATGTCACACCGTGTTTTTTTTTCTAACTTTTTGACCTTTATTCTGATAAAATAAAAAGTAAAAAAAAACCTTTGCTGCCTCAGGTCAGTTAAGATTACGGAAACGAATTCAGTTTGCAAAATTCAAGCATAATCTTCTTATATTCAGAAATTTACAAACATTACTTTCAGTATTTGAAACAACTACTTTCGAAAAGTGCCTGTTTCTGGTCAAATATTCTCACAATAGTTCGTTGGAATATTGACCCATTCCTCCAGAAACATCGGCTCACAAAAAACTTCCTATAACACATATTTTCTACTGGACTGAGATGACTGGATAATGACACTCCGTCAGCCAACATCTTCACAAAATCTAGAATTGTCTTAAGATTTGTTGAGAAATTAAATCTTTTTTAAATCTGCCTTCATCATGTCATCACCACAAAGCTCCTTTATCAAGCATATAATTATGTTTTTACCAGTGTTTTGTTTCATGGAGATGTAGCTCATATGATGAGCTCAGCAGATGCACAGTTCTAACAGGTGTTTGCTAATTGCTGCTGCCGCTAGTCTGGAGGAGCTGGGTGGAAGTGTTGGGGGGAGGGCTGCTGTGTAATGCAGAAACTCAGCTTGGAGTCTGCAGCACTGAGAAGGAGCTTTGTGCAAAAGGCAATGCTCGGTCACAGGACCTGCTTCTGCAGCAGAGTGACTACCAGAGGAGATTAATAGATTTCTCGTAATAAATTTCAAAATGAAAGAATCAAAGCAACACTCTAGGTATGTTTTTTTAACGAGGGAATAACAATATAACATGAAGTAATTCTCAAAAAGTTGATTTTACATAATACCGCCCCTCTAACACTTCAAGAAACTTTCGAGTAATAAAATTACATTTATTAACTGCTAATGTTTGTGGCTTCAGGGTTGCAGTGGGAAGATGACTTCTCAGCTTTGGCGTGTGCTCAACAATCTGGCACCGTTTCCCTGCCGACAAAGAGCTGGACTTCTCAGGGTAGGCCAGAGCGTTGCTCCCTGGCCCAAACTTGCCTGTTCCTCACCTATGTCACCGAGTCAGACCTTGAACTATGACACAAAGTGTGAGTGACACACACGCACACACACACACACACACACACACACACACACACACACACACACACACGCGCACACACACATATATAATTTGAGCTCTGTGGTGATTTGATGACAAAGTGGTCAAAGCCACCTCTCTATCTGAATACCTCCCCTCAGCCAAGGGCCACCCAACTGTCACCATGGCCTAACGTGACATCCACTGTTGTTTTTCTGTCAGATGGCCAGCCTTGACCAAACGGAAAATCTGAGTAATCATCCAGATCTCAGTTCCTTCACCTGCCCCCCTCTCCTCCCCCCACTTCTCCCTCCCCTTTTATGAGTCAGGGATTTCAGCAGCTGCTTTCCCGTCTCTTTGCTCCAAAGCACTTACAGTTGATGACATCACATCCTACGTAGGGATGTGGCACAGTGCATTCAGCTCTCACTACCATTAGTATGACACGAGCAAACAGCGTGTGACACAGTTCAATATGATGTAGTTACATAACAGATCTGGGGCCTTTCCAGTTGCTAACCAAGCTGTGAAGTTTGCATCAAACATAAAAGCTTTCAGAAGGAACCCCAGGACAGTCACAGTGACAGAACCAGTCTGTTTTAGTAGAAAAATTATGTGAAAGGCCTGATAGCTTGCCTCTTCACTGAAGTGTGCTATTCAGATCAGAATTTATCAGTTGCTGCTGCAAAACAAACAGTGTAAGTCGATGCAAGCAGAAACTGAGCAAACTAAAAAAGCAACAGATAATGTTTCTATCGTCCAATGTTGGGTGAGGTTTGGTTGACTAGTTATGGTGTACATCAGGAGGGAAGGAAACCTGGCAGGACCAGTCTGTGATCATTAGAAAACAAACATATTCCTTCATTTCTACATGAACAGAAATATGAGAACCTCACAGAATTCTTAAGAACCAGGTGAAACTGAAACCAGTTCCCCTTTAGTAAAGACTTGTAGCAGGTCCTACGGGTCTCTCCAACATTACTGTGTGAACAGGTGTATGTTCTCACACACTAAGTGGTCGTAGAATATATATTGGCACCTCTGTCATCCAGGTCACACTTATGCACATGTTTACTCAGTTTGTTCAAGGACATCCAAGCCAAAAGTTGCTGTTTGCTTCTGAGAGCTGGGAGCACCACATCTGTGATCTCACACACTCGGCCCTCATTTTACTTGTCTTGTTTTACTCCATTCATAAAATACATACAAGTAACTGGAATTACTGTTCACCTCTTGTAGCTTCTGGATTTACAGCATGTTGATTACTTAAATACCTATGCTATATATTGTGCTGTAGTCAGAGGCTAACTCCAGTATTTCCTGGAGTTAGGGACCACAGTCACAAGCAAATAGTTAAAATCTGTAAATACTCTAACAACACTTATAACTGCCTATTTTAAAAGTTCACACACACACAAAAAACCCCTAAACATTCAGTTTTACACACAATGGAAGCCATCTTTGCACTAGCCTTTTTATGTCTGCTCTTGGGTTTATAGCCAATCAACATCAAGGAAAATAAATGCCACTCTTGGATTCGCTGCTTTGTAACTGGCAGTTGCCAATTCACTGCTTCAGTCAAGCTGAAAACACGATCTTTGAAGACTGCTGGTAACTCCTCCGCCGATTGGCTCGGGGGAGGAGTGACTGGTTGAGTCACGAGAGTGACTTTTTTGCAATAATCTGACCTGCCTTTTATATTAACTCACAATATTTAATGATTCTGAGAAAAAGCCACAGACTGGTCAGAATGTTCAACATTGCTTCCATGTCCTCCGTTGTTGTGTTGTGCTTGTGTTGCAAACACATCACATTGTGCTGTTTGTGGGACTCTGGAATCGCCCATCTATAAGATGATCCCACCTGCTGGAGCTGCAGTTCAATTGTAGAGAAAAACCACCTGAACTATGTAGAGTAGAGTTGAGTCAACTCAAGTCATGTTGCTTGGTTCTAGGGGCATAAGAAGGAGAGCGAGAGATGGTGCTGTCTGAACTACTTATCAACTTCCTCCTGTCTTACTCTATGCCTCAACTTTCAGAGCCTCTACTTCACCTCCATTGACAGTGTCATGTTTTAAAGCCTCATCTTTAGACCAGAAACCGTCCAATGCTTGAGGCTGCAGATGAAGCTCCCACAAACATCTCTCCTCCTGAGGGTCATACCCTCACGTGAGCATCATTATTTCTCTTTTTCAACTCCATCATCATTATCATCATCATCATCATCATCATCATCATCATCATCATCGTCGTCATCATCGTCATCATCAATAGAGGCATCATCTCCTGCAGAGTTAACATCAGCAATATCTTCATCATCATCACCATCTTTTAGAACCTTAGTAATCGTCTACACTGTCAGCATCTTCCTTATCATTAGAATCTCTTCTTCAGTCTCCAAAGCCCTGACCTCTTGTCAAGTCTTCTGATTCAGGGACTCTCCACAAGTCCTCGGTGTATTTTGGATTCCCCTCTGTGTTTCCATCACCTTGCTTCCTAATTGGCTACATGTCACAATCAGTAGCCTGCATTCTCATCTATGATCAGGAAACACCATATGAGCAACAACATCAGGCCGAGGCAATCCAACATGGTGAATGTCCCCCAATTTTAGATCGGAGCAGTTCCGATGTCCTTTCAAGTGGAGCAGATCACTCTTAGCACACCACACACTGCAGGAACATCACTACAGATCACTTAAAGGTTAATTTGTTTTTTCCAGCAGATCCACTGTAGTCCAAAGATTGTATTCTTATGGTACTGCTGGTCACTTGAGTGTCCTGTCAGATGTGTCTTAGTGTTGATCTTATGTGTGGGTTCTCCTGGTTTTGCTAGGGTTCTATCAATTCCTCACTCAACCCCCTCAGTTGCCTTTAGGTCTTTGATTCCTTCACATTTGATTCCTTTGTAATCACTCGCTTGTTTTCTATACAAGACACTCCGTTCCCGTAAAAGCCTCATGCTTTCATTCACTCTGTCAAATTCTCCTCTTAGCTCCTGGTTATCTGTGCTAGCTTGATGTTTCGGCCTTTAGGGTTCCTCACATTTTTGTAAATTTGGATTTTGTTACCTTTGATTAAACATCCCACTGCATTTATAACCTGCCTTCCAACTACTGCCCTCCTGTACTTCCATTCTTCTCAACCTGCAGTCATGTCTCTAAAAAGACCCCAAGTTTTTAGGCCATTCATGCTTACGGTCATAGAGATCAAACTTATATGTTCACAACTGTTTTAACGCCTCCAGCTTTATGTCGTCTGCTTTTTAACTGTGTTGTTTGATGGGTGGATCTGTCTAAAAAAACACAGTGACATCATATACGTAGACTGGGTGGGGTGTGGATAATCAGAAGGTGACTTCCCCTAAAGTAAAGTTGGAATGCCAAAAACGAGTAATCCAAACAGTGAAGGTGCTGGATGGATAATAATCTTAGCTGTTTTACTTTCCTATTTATAGTTACATTTAAATTTTATCCATGTGGCATTCCAGATGCCACCGTAAAGATGCCATCAGATTGTTTAAGTACATGCTCAGTTTATCTTGCACAACTGATGCTTTTCAGTTTTGCAGCACTTTATCAACACCAGAGGTAATAATCCCAACTGCCAACAGCTGCCAGCAGGTAAAACAGACAATGAAAGATTAACTCAGAAAACACATTCCTGAAAGAAAGGGGATTAGATTAGTGATTCCTAAAATAGGTAATCATTTAAATAATCACTTGGTATATTTGCTCACACTTCTAATGGTTTCTAAGAGTGTATTTTAGTTGGTATTACACAGTCATTACAGAAGTGATGAAGTGCTAAAAGTTAGGGAAGGCAAATACTGTGACATGGCTTTAAAGGACCTACCTCTGGGCTGGCAGGTGGAACCTGGAAGCCTATTCAAATGAAACAGTGGAAGGCGATAACACACAATGGAAATTATGTTAACTGCTGGACTCAACTAGACAAAGCTGAGCTCAACTCTGCTTCAGCAGGATTTCATGCCCAGCTGTGTGTTTTAAAGCAATATGAGTTCATTTGAGTCTTAAAAGTATTATATTCCTAATAATATTATACATTTTATGTAAATAGTTCAACAGGAAATAAAAATGTGTACAGTTTTGTTTGAACAGTTCATGTGAAGTCAAAATTTCACTGAATGCAACTGTAAATACCCAGATCACTTCCATTTCACAGAAATTACAGTAAAACAAAAAAAAAGTGGTGAATTACATTATTTAGTAGTGAATATATTTTTATGAAGTTACAGAATAACCTCTAATGGTTGTTTTTTGTGTTTATTGTTGTAAAACCTTAACTAACCGTGATAAAATCAACTCTGCACATGTGCATACTTTAATAACGTTACTGAAGCAGCATAATAACCTTTCAGCTTTTCTTTGTCTCATACATCATCTTCATCATTTGACACCACAGAGAAAAAGTAAGAAAACGGCAACCTTTTCACCAGGCAGTCAGAAACAGACAAAATTCTGATAAAGGTCATATACACAGAAAACTACATATTGAATGGACCCCAATCAGATGGAAAAAATCAAACAGGAATATTAGCATACTGGTAGAAGAAGTAGAAGTTTGTCATTCATGGCAGGATGCATCTTGGGGAAGGAGGAGTGAGGGAGGATTATTCAATTATTTTCAAAATTACTTTTCATCCTAAAGAGAATTCAAATGATGCCATAACTCATATCATCCAAGTATATTCAAAAGTCTTCATTGCGAATGGTGATGCTGTGGTCTAGAAGCATCTCTGGTAGCAGTCAGTCTTGCTACAAATCTGCAGAGGGCTCTGACTGAAGACTGTCTCGTAACTGTCATGATGTACTAACAGCTCCATTTCTGGGCAGCAGAGACGACTTTTCACAGTAATATATCCTGGATGAAACCGTCAGTTATTGGCAAGCACTGTTAATCCACCTCATTTGCCTTTGATGCTTCTTTTTAAATCCCTGTCTAGCTGTTTGGTTCCAAATGCAGAAAAATGTCCTGCTTTTTGCTCTGCTCCTTGGTCCTGCTCTGCATCCAGGAAGCCTCCTTTAAAACACTTAAAGGATTCAGGTTGTTCTTTGAGTTTTTGTGATGCTAATCAGTTCCCAGTTGTAAAAGTAAAGCCTAGTTGGAGGTACAGAACAACTGGAGGTAAACAAACAAACAAACAAATAAATAAATAAAGCATGAATGAAATCACAGTCCCACTTTACAAATTCTAGTAATGCCAGCTGAATTCTCCAGTCTTGTGCCTTTTGTGATGTCATCAACTAAAATAAACACAAATATAAACTTTTGTTCCTCCTTGAAACTTTTTCAGACATTATAATTTGTGGACATCAAAACTTCTTCACACAGCTGTGCTCTCATTATATGGACACATTTGTATGTAACGCTCCGGTGGTTGGCAGCTTTAAAACCCGGCAGCAGTTAGTTACAGCGCTCAGCAGCAGCAGTCTGTCGGGTCAGCGGCCTGCGCTCTGCTGCTCGGGCAGACTGCGCTGAGGGGCTGGCTCTCTGATTGGCTGAGCAGCGCGACGTGTACATCAGTCAGCTACAGGTAGCGCACATGTGGCAGTTATCTCCGCGCCGCGGTGACGCTCCGCAGCTTCTCTCTGCTCCTTTACCGACTTTCTGCCGCTGGTTTATGAACGGAGTGCTTTTCAGTAGACGCTCAGCGGTAAGTCTTCTCAGCCCACTCTCCTTCTTCTAACCCACTTTTACGGCCGTTTTGTTTGCTTTCCTTTCTCTCTCTCTGTGAACCTTTGGCTGGAGTTGCTTCATGAGATCTGCCGTTAGGTGATTGCAAACTGAGGTTAGGGAAATAAGGAGCTACACAGTACCGGGAAGATATCTAGAGGGTTACACTGTGTAACTTTTATTATTAAGCGCTCTAATCTATGTAAAACAACAAGTAGAATTTGCTTTGAGGACCGTTTTCTATAAGGCTTTACAGAGCTCAGAATTAAACTGCTTAGTGTTTAAAGTAATCAGTCTGCATTATGCGTCATTTCATCTTTGTTCTTCAATTAATTAGTGAATTTATTCAAATTTGGAGACTGGTAAATTTTTGTTCAGCTGTTATGAATATTCTGTCTAGTTTTGTCAGTTAAGTTACAGAGACAAGTGAATAAACAAAATGCATAACAAGAAATATCAAACAGTAACAAAGAAAGTGATATATTTCCACTTGTGTGGAACAATTTGTTATTGTGACTCAGAAGACATGCACAATGTTACATTATGTCTTAAAAAATATCAACCATGTAAGAAAGGTTAATACTCGCCGAACTATTTCACAAAAGTTCTATTTTTGCTCAAAAATGTTCCAACTGAACTCATTCTAAATACATATGAATGTCTGTGAATAAAATTAGATTTTCTGAGGGCCAGCAAGTGGCCAAAACCTCCCCTGTTTTCATGAGCACAACCTTGAAGCTGACATTATCTCAGATGTGACAGGATAAAAGGTGCAACATCATGGCGTTTTCACACCGTTAGATCAGATACAGGAGCACGCTGCACTTTTAGACTAAAAATGGGTAAAGAGACAGAGCTGAAAGCAGAGGCTTTCAGCTCTGGTTCTCGAGGGCCGGTGTGCTGAAACTTTTAGATGTGTCTCTGCTTCAACACACAAATAATGAGGTGATTAGCAGGACTCTGGAGGACCCGACTGCACACTGAGGAGGTGATTCAGCCGTTTGACTCAGGTGTGGGACCGTGTCTCCCTGGTCCCAGCTGCATTTAGCAGCTGCAGGACAGCGGCCCTCAAGGACAGCACTTGAAGACCCCTGGACGAGGGGATCAACCGACCAACTAATTATTTAATTAGCAACTTTCACATGATCTTAACACAAGATTGATAGTTTTTTTTTTAAAGTGACCCCAGTATTGAAATATCTCAAAATGTCCTGAGTTTTATGAAGCAACTTACTAATTTATAGCTTCGTGTTTTAAGTAACTATGCACCTGATTTGATTTGTTAAAACATATTTTTTTAGCAGTTTAAAAATGAGAATTAATGATGTTTAGAAAATGTACTGAAGCTCTCTAATTCTTTTTCTGAACTAATTATGTAGTCCTGGTTTATTGGGGGCAGTCCCAGAAGTTATAGAAATTCAAAGGGTGTTTGTTCAAAAAACAAACAAAAACAACAAAGCATAAATGTATAAATTAGTAAAAAATGGCACGTTTAACCAAAAATAGACTCTATGAACAATACTGATCTGGTTTCCACCAGTGTCACTGCTTAGAATCTGCCTTTCTGAGAATCACTAATGCAGATTCTGCTATGGTTTCTCTTCTTACTCTCCTTTATCTGAGGACATTGATTCCATCCACAGGCTTGGATAAACCATAAACATTTCATTGGTGGATGGCCATCACCCCATCCAATGGATGGGAGGATGGTAATGTGACAGTGATGGTAAAGCACTGCAGGATTCTGAGGAGCTTACTGAAACAGGGAAGCAACGGTGAAGTCAGTGGAGTGGTAAGGCTGATAACCAATTTAATATTGGTTATCAGCTTTCATGGTTTAGACTCTAAAACCTCTGAGGTTTTGAGTCTAAGTGTCATCCTTGACAACACTTTGTCATTTCATTCTCATATAAATGACATAATCAAGACTGCATTCTACATAATTCAACTTAAACAAAGGCTGTTCTCACTTGATGAAGATCATTGAAACAGGCCAGGAGTAATGAGCAGACATGCAGTCCAGTACTTGGTTCTTTGAAGTCAACCACAAAGGGACTTGAACCCTCAATCTTCTGATCCAAAGTCAGACGCCTTGTCCATTAGGCCACATGGTCCTTTTTCCCACCACACTTTGGTGGTTGGAATGGCCAAGTCCTGAGCAATTACTCCATTCGAATAACCATTTAACTCATATAGTGACCAAATAAACGCCCAGCGACAGATACTGCAGTAAGCTTAAGCAAAGGTGGTACTCTTCATATTCTTGAAATATCTCAAGGGGAAAGGTCATTCTAAATGGTTTTCTTATATGAAGAAGCTTTGAAAAATGTCTGACTTGCAGTAGATGCACAGTGACATCACAGAAAAACTTAGCATAGCAGTAAATAAATCATGTAAGCCTAAGGTTTTACCTGGTGTATTGTGTGGCCGAAATATTTTTTCTACAAACTGTACCATTGTTTTGCATTGGCTTTGACTGAACATGGGTTCCACAGCTTAAGGCTTTGATAAGGCTTAAGTGCTGATATTTTCAAGATGCAAGTCAGTAAACAGGTTCTTGAATTGGCTAGTCTTGCATGAATAGAATTTGTTGATGAAAGATCACATGAAATATGTTCCATCTTTTTGTCTTGGGTTAATGCAACCTAGATAAAGAGTTTTCCTTAGTGACTAACATCATCAACATTGGATTTAAATCAACCACGAAGGGACTCAAACCCTCAATCTTCTGATCCGAAGTCAGACGCCTTGTCCATTAGGCCACATGGTCCTGCTTCCCACCACAGTGCCTTGATTGGGATGGCCAAGTCCTGAGCAATTACTGAACCATTTAAGTGGTGCAGTGACCAAGTAAGAAACCCAATGAGAGAGACAGCAGTTAGCTTAAGCAGTGGGAGTTTTGATATTCTTGTAAAAAATCTAAATCTGAAGGGGTGAGGCCATTTTAAATGGTTTGTTTTAAAAGAAGCCTTGATAAATGTCTGAGTTGCAGCACATGCCTATCAGCAATATCGCAAGAAAAATTAGAAGAACGCAAAACAAAATTAATAATAATGTAAGCCTAGGATTGTGCTTGGTGTATTGTGTTGCCTAAATATTTTTTTTAACAAACTATACCAAATTATTTTTGCAGCATCTCCGACTGAATATATTTTCCACAACTTAAGACTTTGATATGAAAGTGCTGATGTATTCAAGATGAAAACAACATCTTCAGTTGGCTGGTCATGCATGAACAGAATCTCAGACAGTCTGTGTTGATGAAGGATCACATGAAATGTGTTTAGGTGGTACTCTTGATATTCTTGAACAAAATCCAAATCTCAAGAGGGTAAGGCCATTTTAAATGGTTTGCTCTTTGAAGACATTTTGAAACAAAATGTAAAATTTTACTAATAAAATTAAATAAATAGTTTTCTCCAGTTTAGAAGACCATCAGCTATGCTGAGGTATTTAGGGATCTAATCCCAGATAGAAGGGCAGGAAATGAAATGTCACAATTCCACTTTTGCATGTGAAATTATGCATAATTCACTTTTTCTTTTGTGTCTTAATGTTCCTGTCTGTGTATCTAGGACTTTTATAAGTTGGGAGACTTGGTTGGAGACTGTGAGGTGAGAGGAAGCAGTAGGATGAAGTCCAAAGGGAAGGCAGCGAGACCCTCCAGGAGGCCCTGGTCCGACCCAGAGCCGGAGAACGAACCGGACACAGAGCCGGGCTCCAGCGAGCAGGAGGGCTCGGAGGCCTCGGTCCGGATCGGCGGCTCCTGGAGGGGCTCCTTGAGGAGCGGGGACGGCAGGCGCCGGCAGGGAGGAGGAGGAGCAGGTGGGGGAGGCGGGCGGCGGCGCAGGATGTACGGGTCCAGCACCAAGGAGCGCAGCATCCGGAGGCTGGAGAGCAACGAGCGGGAACGCCAGCGCATGCACAAACTCAACAACGCCTTCCAGGCGCTGCGCGAAGCCATCCCACATGTGAAGACGGACAAGAAGCTGTCCAAGATCGAGACTCTCACTCTGGCCAAGAACTACATCAAAGCCTTGACCACCATCATCCTGGACCTGTCGGGGGCCTGCCTGCCCACTGAGGCAGGGCCCTCGGGGGCCAGGGCTGCCAGGCTGCTGCAGTGCTACCAGCAGCACCTGGAGGAGGATGGGGAGGACGGCCTCACCCAGTACCTCACCCACATGCAGAGCTTCGGCCAGGAAACTTAACAGCCTGGGACTGTAAAAGGGTTTGGGACCAGGAGCCCCCTGCTGGATGCTACAACAACTGACTGCTGGCCCAAAACTCGCAAAAGTTTTCCTACCTCTTGAACCTTTTCACTTTTTTTCACGTCTCAACCCCAAGCTGTCAGGAAATAAATGAAATGTAAATATTTATTGACATCCCTTTGTTCTGATTCCCCAGAACAAATCCCAGTTTTATTCAGAAATGACTTAATTAGCAAAGCCGGTCCACCTGTGTGATGTTTGTTATGATCCTGTTTCTTTGACAAGAAAACAGAACCATGATGACCACGAACACTGCAGGTTAGAAAACAAAATGGCAAACTTTGCACATTTCACAAAGCTCTGTGAGGCCACTAGGAGGAAACAGAAAAAATCTGAACACAAATCTACCAAGAAAAAAGTGTTATTTGAAAGAAAGTCATAAGAAGTTCTGCTTGCAGCTTGGTACAAGCCAGAAAGGCATGGGCGGAGCCAGGAGGTGGTGAAAGGTGGCCATGATCACCCCTGCTGTTCCCTTTCAAAACAGTTGGTGGCAGCAGTGAAATGTGCTTAGACAGCAAAAATATATAAAAATAGGCGTATGCTTATTTACTTCTAGAAAAAAATTTCTGTCTTTGATAAGTTAGTTGGAAAATATAAATGTTGTGCTCTAAAGTGGCTCAGTTGTTGCCCACCCCCCCCATGAGGGGCCACCCCTTCGAAAATTGCATGGCTCCGCCCCTGCATATTGGGAGACATGTGGAAGAAGTTGCTCTAGTCAGAAAAGAACAAATTGGAATGTACTGCACATGTTGAGACATGGTGGTGGCAGCATGATGCAGTGGGAAGGTTTTTTCCTTTTGAAGGAATAAAGAAGCTAAACAGAGCTGGTGGGAAGTAAATACAGAAAACCTTTTATGGCCTAAAAAAAGAGCTTAACCTGGGTTGAAGGTCACTCTTCTAAAAGTACAGTGACCCCAAACCAACAGCCAGAGATACAACAGCATGGCTTAGACTTAAAAACTGATTTTTATAAATGCTCAATCTCACCTTGAGCTAATTTGCAAATGAAAATGAGAAATAATTTCATTATGTTCATTTGTAAAATAGACACACCGGAAAAGACCTGCAGCTGTAATTGCAATGAAAATGGACAAACTTCTGATTCAAATGGGTCAAATACAAATGCACACCACATATTTCAGAGTTTTACTAATAAAACAGTTTGAAAAAGCCATGGATTATTTTGACTTTGCATTGATCTGTCACATTATTCTCATAAGACATGTTGAAGCTTGTGGTTAGAAATGACAAAAGTGGAATTAATTGTTCAAGAGATGAGAACATGTTTGCGATGCGCTGCAATCCTGTGAAATATGCTTGAACACACGAGGTGGGCAGAGAAAAAGACTGCAGTGGACACCAGAGCAAAATGTGAAGTGCTTGTAAAGAAGAAGGGCTCTCCCTTTTGCTTACTTTTTTTTTTTGCTGTTTGAAATGACTTTGTTCTCTTTTTCTACTATCTTGTGATCTCCCTGTGTGTATGTGTGTGTGTGTGTTTTGTTAGGAAACTTGCTGAGTGTAAGCTTCTGGTCATAACTGTCACAGAAAGGAGAGAGAAAACGAACAGCAGGTTTTTGTTGCACAAGATCGTGTGAGACCCCGATAATCAACTATGATTAAGCTGAGAAGGCCTTTTTGCATTTTCTGCATCATAATCTGATTGGCTAAAGTCAGCTTTAAAGTGTGTTTTGTTTTTCTTTATTTTCCTCCTTTGTTTCCATTTATGCCAAAGCTTCTGAAAAAAAATCAGAAAAGAAGAAAAAAGCTATTTGAGTAGTTGCTATCAATAAAACCATTTATTTATTGACACCAACTTTTTTTTCATTTTGGTCAATGCACAACTTGATCATATTACACAAGATGATTACTATTTACAGATAACAGCCACATATCAGCACATGATCAACATTTACTAACGATTCAGCAGTCAAACAGTAGGACGCTATGCCAGTTATTAAAGCACAATTTTATAACCTAATATATCACCCAGTCCTCAGAAACAGAAAATCCATCTTTACTTTACCAATGCTTGCTATATTTCTATTTACAATAACCAAAATAGTTTTTTTCTTTACAACTGCTCAGTCATTGTCTCATCATCTGGTCAAAGGAAGTAAACAACATGCAGATGCAATCACCCCTGAGAAAGAGGAAGGGTTAGTTTAAGCATTTCAAATACCATCTTCTTTTTTTTCCCCCAAGTAATCCCCTTTTTTCCCTTTTGATAATGCTAAATATTGCACATGCACCACAACAACTTTTCAAAAACAAAATATTTCAAAGTGGCTAGCTCCCCTGACAGTCAAATGAAAGCAGTTGTGACACATCGGTGTTTTGTCTTATTTTTTCATGCTTTCTGCTGCTTAAAAGATTAAAAATGACTGTTTATAATTCATAAACTTTGCTGGGATCTGTAGCGTTTAACGAATCTTCCTGTTCCTGAACCAATTATCAAAATAAAAGAACCAGTTTGAGACGCAGTGCAGCTAAGAGGGTGTAAAAACAACAAAAAGCAGGTCCAAGCAGAAGCAGCCAAAGAAAGAAATTTGCTGCTATTTATAATAAATCTGTTTAAACTCTAATAATTTGACCGTTCCAAACTGGATTTTCCTGGTCATTTTCCATCCATATTTTGCAAGGAAGTTCCAAAGCATCAGAGGAATCTTACTGAGTTAAAGTATTAATCTGTGTACTATAAAGCAATGACAGAAAAACCACAGAAAAACAAAAATCTGGACATTTTTCCAAGTAGGCGTAGGGTTACAAGACATCTCTTCTAAAGGTAACATCCAGAACATCATACCCAAGCTAAAACTGGTAGTGGCAGCATCATGCTCTAGGTTTGCTAACAGAGATTTTTGCCAAGAATGGCTTCACATACCAGTCAGTTTTGGCCCCAAACCTAGAAAGCTTAACCTGCTGACACTTTTTTTTTTGTAAGCTTTACAGTCATTAAACAAAAAGAACAATATCATGTTAGGGAAATGGCCAGAGTTCAGACCTAATCCAACAGAAAATTTATGGGAAATTACTGTGCTGCCTAATTAAATAATTTTAAAAAATTGCTATTGTCACGTTAAATTGACTTGCACAGATTGACACAAACAAACCACACACACAAACACAAAATAATGAATTCACGTTTAGGTCTACTGAGAAAAATCCATCAAGCTTAGCAACAAAATACAAACACCGCTATAAAGGAACAAAACACACAGAAAACAAAGACTTATTTATAGATCTTGAATGTCTGGTAAAATATTAGACTGGCTCAGCTTCTCTGAATATAATACTTGCCCGCAACTTTAAACCTAAAAGGCCAAAGTGTCTCTTAAAAGTGAGTGTATTACTAAGTTATCCTGGAGTTTGACAGCTACATGGTAGGATTAGGAGCTCAGGGTGCGGCTGGGGGTGGAGTGTGAGCGGCTCGGGGCAACGGCTCTGTCATGGAGGGAAGACAGATCCGAGGTGGCTCCATGGAGTTTCCTCTCACTGTAATATGGTCCCATCCGCCCTGCAGAGGGGGAACACAGAGAGGGAAGTAGCAATTATAGGTTCATATCCCAGGAGTGTTTGGATGTTTATGACATTAAATTCCATTAGTGACAGAGTCCCATCCTGAATAGTTTTACCCCAATGCCATAGTCCCATGATTGCCCCTTGGGTTCCATGGGCTGGACTCCGAGTCGATGGCACACCGTCCCGCAGCTCAGACTGTGGCTGCCCTGAACCTTGTCTGCTATGATCCACACCTACAGCAACACATAAAGCAATTCAATCAACAGGTGCATGCTAAGAACTGAAAATGTAAACACACATCCATCCAAGCCCCAAACACAGAGCAAAAAAAAAATAAAATATATGTATAAAAAGAAATCTTTCCATCCCAAATGGTGTTTTTATCATCTCTTTTTTATCTGGTCCCAAACAAAATGCCTGAAATATCCATGAGCCCACCTGATCCAGGGGTCCCACAGAGACTTTGCGTACGTTGTTTGAGATGTGCTCCCAGGATGAGCCCTGAGGGTAGCTGGGGGTCACTCCCTGTCTGTACCAGATGTTACCTACACATGAGCAGAGAAAACGTGCAAAAGGCACTCTGTACAGTGACGTTGTTCAGAAGATTTTGCCGTAAACACAAAGACAGTGTCCTTACCATTCTCGTCCACAGTGTAAACTGACGTCCTGCCTACAGACACCTGCTTCAGCTTCTGCTTAGCCGGAGAGGGGATGTGGTACCAACAGTCCCCTGCAGATGGAGACAGAGCACTTTGATACTTGAGCGCTAGGCTATCTTTAATCAGAAGCGGCATAAGTTGCTATGTTTTGCTTCTTGTAATTGGCATGATTTTATTTAAATGTTAAAGTCTTTTAACAGAACTGAGACATTTTTTGTCATGGTTTTCAGACAGTCTCAGATCCTCCTGCTGACCTGCTGGGTTCGGTCCTGAGACTGACCCCCGGTAGAAGGCTGAGCCGTCCCGAGCCACGCCCCACACCTGGCTGGCAGCCCCAACAGAGATGGACTTGAAGGGCTGGTCTGTCCCCACATGAAGCCATGAGGTTCCCTGACATACAGACATACAGACAGGAAGATGTAACAACTACCACAACAGTATTATTCATTCCCCATGAACATTTTCACATTTTACCACAACAAGTAGAAGTATTTCATCTGGACTTTTTGTGACAGACCAACACAAAGAAATGCATGATTGTTAAGTGGAAGGACAAGAAAACATAATCTGACAGACAGACAGACAGACAGACAGACAGACAGACAGACAGACAGACAGACAGACAGACAGACAGATAGACGGATGTCAGCTGGTGTCTTGGTTCTTCATGACTTTTTTCCACCTCCCTTTCTGTGTATTCAATACTTTTTTCCTCTGCCATTTCATATTTATGACACATAACTTAAATGTTGAACATATTTGTTTTGGTTTCTTTCTATGGATGGATTATTTGAGAACATTTCATGTTAGTAGCACCTTTAGGATATGTTCACTATGAAAATTTGTGATATGTTAAATCAGGGGTGTCAAACGTATGGCCCGCGGGCCGGAACCGGCCCGCCGAACGATTTAGTCTGGCCCGGGGGCTAAATGCATTATCATTATTCATGAAAAAACATATACTTCGTTTAATTGAAAATCTGCAG